TAAAAGCCCCTCGACCGTCGCTCTCAGGCTCCGTCCGGAAATCGGGTTTCCGGCCTTATTTTTATGGCTCTTGAGCCTCCTCAAAATTCAGCCTGTCTGCAAATATCCTCATCGACATTCAAAACAATATCCCCGTAGGCACATTTTCCCAGGATTATAACCGCCCGTGCCTATAGTTGTTGGTTCTGAGCCGATATAATCAAACACGGCACGGTAACGGAACCCGGTTTTCTGTGCGCCTCCCTTCTGTCCGGGAGCGCGTATCTGTACCTCTCGATCCGGCCTATCAGCCTCGCCCGACCGGGCCGCTGTCCCCTGGGGTCCGCCGGCTGATGAGACTCGCCCCCTCCTCCAATCCTTGTCCCCCCCACCTCCCCCCCCCCGGCTGGGAGGAGGAAGGGGAATGGTGCGCTCATACTCCCATGGATGCAAGATAGAGGAAAACTGGATGACTGACCTTACAGCCCACAGAAATATGCTGTCGGCTACTGGAGCATATAAAAATACCTAGTGGTGTGTGGTTCATGCTTGCTCCAATTTCTATTCTTTCTTGTCAGAGAACTTCTTTTCTTCGCTACACCCACACTTCTCAACACTCCTTTTTTCCTCGTCCTCCTGCTTGTGCCCTCCCCTCCTCCCACTTCTCTCCCTCTCCTCTCCAACACCCCCCTCCTCGTCTTTCCATTCGTACCGATCGGTGTCGCGCCCCGTCGGCATACAAATTAGAGTGGGTCAGCGCGGCCGACCGCCACCCGGGGCTCCACGGCGGTCTTCAGAGGGTTCCGCCAGGGAACGTGCGGATAGGCGCCATCGCAGGTGATTGTCGGGACGAGATAGTTATCAATTGTTTCTGTTAAGTCATAAGCAATGATTATTAGCCCTCGCCCCGTTGGGGGGGCAATTTGGCCCCCCCCTGTGGTTTTTCCTGAATAGCAAGGAAACGGCGGCTCGCAGCGCCGCCAAATTTTCAGTACCTTCTCGGGCATCAATTTGACACCTTCACACCAAATTTCAAGTCTTAGCTCACCTTAGGTCAGGAGTTATTCAGGTCAAACTGAGGTCATGTTCGAGCAAAAATGAGCAAAAAACATGCAATCTTGAAACGCTCACCAAATCTACAGTTACTAAGCAATTTCAGAGTTCTTTATATGGTCTAGTAGACAAAAAGCGGCGCTACAAAACTGCTAACTCGGATTTTCAGAATTCTGGTTTTTTGACCCCCAAAAATTCAAAAAAATGTTTTTTTTAGAAAAACTAAAAAAATCCAAAACAAAATCCGAATTTCGAAAAAAACCGGAATATATGTGATAGTCCCTGCGCTTTTCTATAAACATACCAAATTTCAGATCGATATCTCGTTTTTTGGCCAAGTTATAGCGAAAAAACTGTTCAAAAATGATGACGTCAAATTTTTGAACTCATTTTTTTGCGATTCTAGACCACATAGGGCAAAACAAAGACCATTATTGAACTCCTCGTGACGAGCTGCATCGAATCGATACCCATTTTATGCAAAAATATCAACTTTGAAATTTGACCTAATTTGACCTGACCTTGACCTGACCTTGACCAAAACGTGACCTAAGCTGGCCCCAAAGGCTGCCTGACCCACATAATAGCATTTGTCATGTAAAATGGACCATAAAACATGTATCACACGACACTTTCATATTGTGACCCCCCCCAGTGACCTGACCTCTGTGAACTGACCTGGTATCAGTGACCTCAAATAGCAAAATATGTGTTTAAGAACATTTCCCCATCGATGATTTTCAATGAAATGCATTTAACTCGATTTTACAACGCATTTCTTGAAATACCTGTAAACGGTGAAAATTCGACCTTTGACCTGACCTGTGACGTCATCGGTTTGACCTAGGTCAATAAAATTGGGTCACAAGGTAGTTCCCTGATAGGGCTATCCAACACCGTTTGCCGCTTGTCGCTAGGTTGCGTGGTTCTCGAGATCTTAGGGGGGGGCAAATTGCCCCCCCCCCCCCCAACAGGGTGCGTTGCTCGGCAGAGCCCAACGGGGCGCGGGTTAATTGTAGTGCTTCTGCTGAGTGCTGCATATTTATTTCGTAGAAAAGTTTGGCTGTGCTGCACCAATTATAAACTGGTTTGTTGTATAATGTGAACGTTTTGTGTTGACTGCTAAATGAAATAATGGCGACAACAACGGTCCTGTTCATGCAACCGGCAAATAACAAATGAAATGTGTTGTCACGCATGTCTCGTGTGTTTTGGTCCTAGTTAGGGAAGTACTGAAGAATATTACTCCCACAAATTAAACACAATGCTGTGCAAAGAATGTTAACAAATCACGTTATGGGTACAATGGGCTGTACAGTGTAAAGGTCGCATGACCTACGACATTCTGTTCGTCCTAGATGGAAGCAAGATGGGGACGATTTGGAACGAATGCACACTGTGCATTCCAATTCCAATCCAATTCCATCCAATTCTTTCTGTTTGCCTGTGCATTGCACAGGCAAACAGAAAGAATTGGATAGCTACCTACATATGCGAGAGAGTGAAAGAGTGAGTGAGTGAGAGAGAGAGAGAGGGGAGATAGGGAGGGAGAGAGAGAGAGAGAGAGAGAGAGAGAGAGAGAGAGAGAGGGAGAGAGAAGGGGAAGAATATAGACAGAAATAGATAAATATAGCCCGGTTCCGACTTCCGAGTTTCGAGTTTCGAATTCTCGAGCATCTTTGGACCTTCTCTGTCTCGCCCAACCCTCCTGGAACCTTTTCTATCCCACCGACCACTCATGGGGTCGTGTCCCGTCCCTTGCCATTGACCGGGGCGGCACGAGGCATGCCACAAATCAGCGCCCCTGGCCGTGACCGGGAAGGCAATGATACTGCGGCCCGGCCTGCACTCCGTCCCTGATGAAGAGGCCGATAGGCGGCCGTCCTCTGGCAGCGCGCTGGCCATCGAGCGCCGTCGCGACACCGGCTGAATGTGTGTCCCCACACCGCGCTCTCTGTCCATTGTGGCGGCCACAATGGCGCCGGTTACACAGATGTCCTGTCGGCGGGCGGACGGACACTCAGAGAGCGGGTCCGGCAGACGCACCTGCCGCCGCCGGGGCGCACCGAGCAGTGCCGGCGGGGACATGGCGGTGTTTTTGCTGCGCTAGCAGATTTACAAGGAGGAGACGCCCGTGGTCAGGAGCGTGAAATGACACGCCAGTCACACGATGTATTGGAAGCTAATAGCATTCACAAAAAAGCACACACACACACACACAAAGGCGCATAAGAAGTGGACAGTGTATGTAGTTTCCAACATAAGAGAGAGAGGTGATTAATCTCACAACCTACCTTTGGTCGACCTCAACACTTAAAAATGAATTTTAACTTTAGACTGGAATTTAATTGCATCTTCCCTTACAGCAACTGAAAATATTTGATCAGACTGAATGATAGGCTCCGAGCTAGGGGTCGATCATTGCAAGCCCTCTCCCTCACAATTGGGTTGGGTTTTCTATGCTGTCGAAACTTTTTAACAACATAACGTCTGGCGACTCCTGGACACGTGGTTCCCAATCCGACTCTGCTCCTCTGCTCAGCATTCTCTCCTCTGCTCAGCATTCTGTAGTCGGTCATCCTGAAGTTGAGATTCTCTCTCTCTCTCTCTCTCTCTCTCTCTCTCTCTCTCTCTCTCTCTCTCTCTCTCTCTCTCTCTCTCTCACCCGTCCCTGAATCATTGTCCCGAAAAGAAAATTTATATATTGTTTAAAACATACTAGCTGGTCCAAGTTCATCTATATCGGTGAAACGAACTTCTACATAGCATGAACCATTTGAGTGCTTCCTCATTTCAAAACACTGCTTTTGGATGAAAACAAAAATTATAAAGCGGTTTTTCGCATTATTTACCTAAAGAAAACACCAACCTCGATATCTTCATTTTTATTGGTTGGATGTATGCTTGCTGAATCCACGAAGGTAAATTACATTAATTTTAATAAACGGTAATTAGTAGTTCAAATGATATTCCTTCAGCAAATGACGCAACTACCGATATTCTGCACGTTTGATTCCAGTCGTGTGTTACGAAGTTCAGACATCACATAGATCACAGAGAGTTTTCAGGGTCCCGCTCACGTCCTCCGAAGTTTTGCTCTCTCCGCTTTTGCTCTCTCTCTACCGCAGACAGAGCGCGTGCCACCACGTGACCGACGAGACACCGAACGGGACCAATTAGCGGATAGTTTCGCGTCGCCCAGTGTCGCGGCATTCAGAGCATTTGTCGCTTTGTTAACTCGGAGACATTCGGACAGTAGGTCGGCGGCCTCTGGCGACCCTCTCTGTTCACGTGTATGTATCTCCCGCGGCGGAGACGAGACATTCCCCCTCCCACACCTGTCTGTCGGGTCTGAGGTTATCGTGTGTGTCAGACACCCGGTGACATCCGCTGTCACCGACCACCTGACAATGCCAGGTCACCGGCGGCCCTAACTGTCGGCACAAAACGCACAGCTGGCAGAACAAGCCGCTCCAAACGGCAGCTCAAGCCGCACAGCTGTCGGCACAAGCCGCTCCTAGCGACAGCACAAGTCCTTCGACCTGACATTCTGTGCCAGTGTTTCTCGGCAGTTCTAGTTCCTAAAACCACCGCTCTATCTCCTCTCAACACTGCAGATTGTGTGGTTAACAAACTTGCGTCAGCGTGTGCCTTCACGTGCAGAAGTGTTAATTGAACGGCCGCTTGTGGGCGTCAGCATCGATCCAATGGGACGCATACGACGCTATGTAAACTCGTCTTATCAAGGGATATGGGGAGGCTAATTTTAAAAAGATTCCATCGAGAGAGCGGGGAGATGATCTGTGTGAGTACTGAGTAGTTAGACGTCAGTACAGGTAGTAATCAGGCGCTCCTTCATAGGATAGAACAATACATAGAGCATTGATCTACTGATTGGATAGACCTCCAAACCACTGTGTTTCGTTATTCTTACACTACCTGACAGCTAATGTGTTTCTATCCGGCAGGGAAATGACAGCCTTGCGGCGTTCGTGAACAAGCATGGGGCGCCCCGCCAGCCGCCATGGACGCTGAAAACAGGGTCGTCCTCAACGTGGGCGGCATCCGGCATGAAACTTACAAGGCCACGCTCAAAAAGATTCCGGCCACCCGACTCTCCAGGTAGGTGCATTGTGCATTTTGCACGATATGTGCAGCTGCAGACCACTGTGCAGAAAACTGTGCAGCTTTGTAGGGGGGGGGGGGGGGGGGGGCGTCCATTCGAGCCATGGATCTGTGAAATAAGTGATGATAGATAAACAAATGTCATTTTTATTTTATTGATTAGCAGTCGATATTCATTGCTAGTCAAACTACCGAGTCAAAGACGAGTGGTGAGGTGCCAGCGCTTTCATTCAGAATTCGATGATCTTACAACCTGCAGATAGCAGCAGACATCACCTCAGAGCCTCTGTCGCCAGCTGCTGCTGTGTGAATCCAAGGGTCTTTGACAAGCCGCCATACATTTCGCCAGTTGTTATGTAATAGCCCTTTGTGATCTGTTGGGATCAATGCTTGAACGGACGAAATCTGAGAGTCTTTGGATGTCAGGTGGCTTTGTGAACGTGGCTGCAAACTTCATCTGATTCATCGTATCGAGTGAGACCATCAGATGAAAGTATGTAGTCTTAGCTTCATTTATTGTTCACCTCATAAGTTTTGAAAGGCGTACTTGCGAAATCCGTGTGTCCACTAGTTGCACTTAAGCACCAAGGTTCTTCCTTCTGGCCACATCTATCCGTTCATGGTTTACTGGATACATTTCTGGCAGAAAGTTCAATAATAGGTGGATTAAGCACGGTCAGGGGGATGAAACAGCAACAAGTAGCCGTCGTTTGATTTTTGCGTCCCCAAATCGGCGATGCCGACGCTCGGCTGGTGCTCGCTGTGACGACCTGTCGCGGAAGCCGTGACCGTGCAGAGGAAACCCTGCAGAGACCGTGACCACACCGCCCTAAGCGGCTCTGAATCAACAGATGCCTCTTGATGTGAAGATCCGACGCCATTAGCTGGCCAAGGCGGGCTTTTCGCTTCGTTTGGATATCACATTTCTTACCGCGACAGCAGATCACGTTAAACGGTTGGTTAAACTGAATAGAGGGAATGTATGCAAACCACCCTAGCTTAAGGGAATCACCGACAGCGAAATCTAGTTACCTAGCTTGCGCTTTGTGTCGCTGGCAAGAAGGTTTTGAAAGCGAAACCGTATAGAGAATTAATAAATAAATATCATAACTCCGAGAAGGTTACTGCGTCTGAACTTATTGTTATGCACATTTTTTCGTGTTATTCCATTAATGCCAAGCAAATGTGTCAATACCGAAAAAGTTCGTTTTATAGAAATAATATTCTTCTTAAATATATCAATACCATAAGCACAAATTAGTTATCTTTTTTAGCTAGAACACTATTCTAACAGTCTCCTATTTTTGCAGGTTAACTGAAGCACTAGCAAACTACGACCCTATTTTAAATGAATATTTCTTTGATCGGCATCCGGGAGTATTTGCACAGGTAAGACTGCACGAATCACGCAACGGTTTATCGCACGTCGTCTTGTAACTGTCGTTTTATTAGCCTATTGATGTTCTCTCCAAAATAACCAAAACACGAACATAAACAAAGAAGCTCACCATGTCCGAGAAGCGATTTCTAATAACCGTTCGCCGGGTGCTGCCGTATTTTACGACAGCCATCGCCTAGTTAGACGGCCTCTGTTTGGGTCATGAAGCCCGGCCTCCCGCGGCGGGCTCAGCCTTTACGCGGCGATGACGTGTTCCGTCGTCTCTGGCTGCTCCCGTGCCGGGTCGCAGAGCCCACCCGTGCGCGACCGCGCCTCTCATAATATTGAGACTGCCGGTCGGTGGTTCGGCGAAGGAAAGCGCATGACGCCAAGCTCCAATGAATCAGCGGGAACACGAAGACGTGTGCGACATCAGGTTATGGTAGCTGCATTAGCATTAAGCTGCTTCATTGCATTGACGCTTTGATCAGATTAAATCAATTATTTCCTCATTTTGTCAGACGCATTGGCAGGCTGGCTCTAACGAAAACAGCCGTCTGGTTCTTTTCGAGCGGACGTGTGCTATCGTGTGCGACTGATAAAAGCACACGCGGGGCCTGTCATTCGCACGCCCCAGCCAATATCGTAGATTGGAAACATCACGCCACGCGGCGCAGATAACAAAATGAACGGAAAAAGAGATTTACAATGGCTGCTCGAATGATTTTCCGAGCTCGGCAAAGGACGAGCGAGGTCAAAACCGGTAATGCTATGCATCTCTTGGGGGCTGTTGATATTCCCAAAGGAGCCCTACCACAGTCAGTCGAAAATTGAATCACCTTATCATTTGACTGAGCATATATATGTCCAACACCACAGAACAATGATTTCAGTGAGGTTGTAACGAAACAGACTGAAATGATCATGTGCCTTACCGATGTTATGGAAGTGATATCGATTCCAGTAAATACGAATAATGTATCGCCGCCTCTCACCATCATTATCGATACTCAGACGTCATTAAACCATAACGACCCGGAAGTAGGTCATATGCTCTCAAACGTCTTCGGGACATTCTGGCCAAACTTGGCAGTCGCACATATACCCAATAGTCATCAACGCTTTGTGATTATCCGTTTGGCCATTTTCCCGTGAGCCGGTGCCAAGGCGTGCGGCCAACGGACGCCGGACACCGGGACGAGCCGAACGGGCGCGGCGGGCACATCAGGCCATGTGCAGCCTTCTCCGAACGCTGCTGATGTGGCGGCGCGGCCGGCCAGCCCGTGCAGGGTCGGCAGTTCACCTGGTGATCGATGTCACTTTGACGGCTACCGCTGATGCCTACATATACGATAATATTATAAAACGATGGCGTTTACGTGTGGTACTGCATCTGTTACTGTAGCACGCTACATCTTGACCATCTAACGTAGTATCTTTTCGGCACGGCCGGCCCGGTGACGCGCAGCTGAGCAGAGCGCTGCCGCACGCTTCCCTCCCTTGTCATTATTCCCTCCCTCCTCCCACCCGTCCCCAGGTCCACCCTCCCCAATCATTTCTCACTGTCCGCACAGAATGGGCCGCCATTAACTCCAATTAAGACAAGCACCTCTGAAGACAGTCACATCAGGATGAGTCATTGGTAGTCATTACAAAGCAGCTGAAGCTACAAGCAAACGTCGGCACACTGTGAGACCACGCGCAGGCTTAAGGCACGTAGCACATTGGGTCTCACGTAGCCATGGTAGCACAACAGTGCGTCTCACTGCAACGGAATCTGCTAAACTTAGCAAACAGCCTCCGAAACAGACGTAGTTCAGGACGTCTCCACTGCGGACAGAAAGCGCTGTTGTCCGAAACAAACGTAGTTCAGGACGTCCCCACCGCGGACAGAAGGCGCTGTTCTACAGACCCTCCCAACCAAGATGACGTCAGTGGGTGGAGCAAGAGTGACGTCACAAGGGGCGTTGCCGGCAGACGAAACGGAAGGAAACAAAAGTTTGAATAAAGTGAAATTGAAGAATCAAAATTAAAACTCGAAAATCACCAACCTTCCGGGGATTGGTTTATGCCAGCGACTACTAAGATGATAAAGCACTCAACACGAAGACGATTCGACGGCCAAAAATTGCAGACACAGAGGAGCAAGGCGACTAAACAGGACAGAGGGCGCCATCTTACGGGCCCACCCACAAGAGGAAGGCAGAGGAAGATGACGGCGCAAGGGCGTGGCAGTCACCCCCTCCCCCCAAGCTATAAAAGGGTGCACCACCCAACCAGAGAGGTAGACACAGTCGAGCAGCCGAGAGTCACAGTCCACAGCTGGAGCCGGAGACGCCATCTGGGAGCCGCCGTCAGTCCGGGGTCACCCGCGAGAAGCCTCTTCAGTTCGACCGACCAGAGCCGGAGGACAACCGCCGACGCTTGTGACCACACTGAGAAGCGGAAGCGCAGAGAAACTCCAGAATGTGAGTGTTGTTGAAAAGTCTGCTCAATCCCAATCCTTGACCCCCCCCCCCTCTGCCCGGTTACCGTGCCAGTGACGACTGCCAAACATTTTCGGTTGCCATAAAATGCACTCTCAATTGGAATTGGAAAACTTAAATTACTTTGAACTTATTGGTCCAGACACCCTAGTTGCATATTAGGATCTGAATTGTGAGGTCATGCAAGAGCCGCCAGCAATTACGTTATTGTCAGTTGGAGTTCACGATTAGGCCGGGAGCGAGACGCTAAAATTTGAATAAGCAGCTCAGTTGTCACGAACGTTGAAATTGATGACGGGATGCGTGTCAGCATTGAATAATGAATATGTCTTTGTGGTTGGCCAAGCTGGTTCGTTCGATTTATTATCGGCGGTAGTCAGGTGCGATTGAGATTTGAGGTTGGGAAGTTTGTGAAATTAAGGGTTTAGATTCGTGCTGTACTCACTAAAATTTGCATTGCGAAATCATTGGTAATATTGCTGTAGGAATTAATTGCGAAGTCGAAATCAATTATAGAACAGGTAAATACGGTTGAAAAGGAATGTAATGTTTTAAGGTGGCGACTGATTCATGCGATCGATCTATGAATATGGCTATGAGTTATGATTTTCGACAGATACGAATGCTTGAGCTTACGGCGGAATTTCTTCTGTTACTTAGGTGCAGAGTTGTGGGCAGTGGTTTGAGGTTGACGGTTTGACACTTTGCGACTTTAGATGGTCACTTTGCGTCATTAAAATTGCGAAATGTCGAGTAACAGGTAGATGTAGAATTGTTTGTGGTTAGAACTAATATGCGACTAACATAGGTACCGATCGTTGTGCTTTGTAGAATAAATACTAGAAAGGACCATCTTTGTTGGGGAACGATTAAAGGGGACAGGAATTTAATAGAAAAAAAACTTACGTGGAATGGAGCTGATGAGATGTCGAACAGGGAGATATTGCAGCGATATTTTACCAGATTCACACTCACTGACACATTCGGTGAATCTACCCGGCCCGGAGAGACCGCACACACCAGAACTGCACCGCGAGTGATGACGCGCCCATCGCGGCGCGGCCTTGACAACTGTCGACTGTCGACGCGGCGCCGGCCGGCAGCCGTGGTAATCGTCGTTTGCGACGCGGGACCGTGCGCCGCTAGATGGCACATGAGAGCAGCGTCGGGAGTGGAGCAGCAGTCACAGTAGGGGCAGTGGGTTAGCCGTAATTGGGGCGCGGGCAATAGATGAAGGTCAGCGTATAGGAACATGGTTAGTTGTGGAAAGTTGCCACGGGATGCGAACGTAAACAGTTAATGCATAATTGTAAATATGACATGCTATTTGATATTTAGGACTGCACTTCGTTTGATGTGCATTGTTTACTGCTAAAAGGATGATTTAAATTATATTTTCTATGAAAGGCTAGGGACCCCTATGACAATATTCTGGCGCTCTATAAAGATAATTTGTATAGGCAACTAGTAGTCCGTCAGAAGCTATCGAACGAGTTTTCAAGGAGTCGTTTCCGTTTGAGCATTCAGTAATTTAATATGATACGGTGGATCACAACCAGACGATTGATCGGTACGTACGAATTGGTTCTAGATCATCTGATTAAATCAAGAGCAGTTCAAGGCCTGCTAGGATTGTATATGAGAACTGATGATTAGGTTCACGCGTGCAGCAGCAATTAGGACTTGAGATTACGATTAGGTTTGGATCAATAATGCGTTTCTGTTATTCGCGTTCTTGCGAGTTAGCGCCAATAATTACTCCACCAATATTGGCACAGGGCATTGTGAGGCACAGACGGCTTGTTTGCCCGTCTCCTATGGCGTAACGTTTACCAGCATGACCGTATGAGACACAGATGCACTTCTCTAAACACACGTCCAGACCGGAATAATAAGAGGGACACACCGTCACGTACGCAGGGCATATGCACGTTTTCCGCCAGTGGTACCGGCTACTGTTAGATTTCCCGCTTAGGTAATACTGGGTAACGAGGCAGTGAGAGGTTTCTACGGCAGGGGGAAGGGGAAGATTGGCACAGTGCAGTGGAGAGTAAGCTATGCCAAAGGTAAGAAGCCGAAGGTCAGGGGTGAGTCACCCAAAGGGCGGATAAGGCAAGCTGTAGTGTCCCGAATAAGTCCTCATACTTATTTTGTAAGGGTACCTTAATCGGTACTGGACAGCCTCAGGGGAGGTAACGATGTACTCCAGGACACGTAAGGCCTTGAAAGTAAATCACAGGGTTTAAGGAGAGTTCCTGAGGAGAGTTCCAGGATATGAACGGTGGTCCCTGGGTCGTGAACGGAGGTGTTACACGCGGACCGGAAGAGGGCATAGGTAATCTCTCCCGGATAGAGAGATAAGTCGGATGTAAATCGCGTATATGTGTACCATAAGTCTATCGGACGTGTAGTGAATCCCATAAATTAGCAGGGTGGATATTTGTGCAATTATTCTGGACGGCCCTGCGATAAGTATCTTAGTCGCCGGTTAGCGGAGCATGCATATGGATTTCGGAAAGAGACATTTATCTCGCCGGGGAGACCCTGGTTTGTAAGACGCCTAACACTATCGGAGGGAATTTCGGGGGCTATCAATTAAATTTGGGTGAATATATGAAATGCAAACGAAATGCGAGCAAGGGTGTGAGAATGACGACGCATGAATCTTAGAATAAGGCCGATAGGAATTTGATAGAATTCGGTTACGGCAGTCGAACAAATGATTCTCGAGGGCAGTTAAAACTAGCAACGCTAATACGAATTAAGTGGGCAATTTTCGTAATGGGGAGGCCAGTGATATAGGAATGGGTGACTGGACGAATGATCACATTCAATTAGTCAATGTAATTACCACCCATAAGTTTGGCAGTGGTCATCGGGACTTCGAATGCCCTGTCCTTCACCTGCCCAACTGTGCCGCAAACCCAGCTGATCGGATCCCTCTATCCCAAATCCGAGCAGTGAAGAAGCATCTCGTGCATCATGGTCTATACAATGAAAAGAATCGTCAAGCCTCTAAATTAAAAAGCATCTTCCATCAGATGTATTTGTACGCAAGGTGGATCTGTATCTACATCTCTCCCAGGTGGACGTCATCTCAAGATCTCTATCTGGATACCTACAAGATCCATCTCTATCAGGTGGATCTCATCACCATCTGGATCCCTCTCTATAGCTATCTCAGGATCTCTTCAACGACTCTCAAGCTCCCCTGTATCACAAGCTCTACTATCGAGTTCATTACAGCAGCAAATTGTTATCTGTTCTTCTACAACCAACTGAATTCAGAGGACCGCGGTGCTGGATCAACCGCGAAGATACAGCTTTTTTATTCTCCTTCTTTCTAATTTTCCTTGCTACATTACCTTCACAAAAACGATCGATAAAACAAACCAATTCCAAACAGAAAAATGACTGAAACTTTTTAATGGTCCGCAATAATTGATGAACCAATAACCCAGCTGGTTTACTGACATTGCAATAACATCACCACACATTGCTCCGTTCTGAGCGCCGTTCGCCATTGACTCGATGCCTGTTGGTTGGTCAGGTGCTCAACTACTATCGGACTGGCAAGCTCCACTACCCGACGGACGTCTGTGGCCCTCTGTTTGAAGAGGAGCTCGAGTTCTGGGGCCTCGACTCGAACCAGGTCGAGCCGTGTTGCTGGATGACCTACACCCAGGTCAGTGCCGCCCCACCCAGGTCAGTGCCGCCCCACCCAGGTCAGTGCCGCCCACCCAGGTCAGTGCCGCCCCACCCAGGTCAGTGCCGCCCCACCCAGGTCAGTGCCGCCCACCGTGCCGTTCATGTGTGTGCAGTTGCACTGTGCATGCATGAGGTAGTGTTGGAGGCGCTGTGGAGAAAAATATCCTTTTTGAATGTGGTCAACACTCAGGTTTTGCGATCTGAGTTGGTTAGTTCAAATTGAAAAAAGCAAAGAGAGCAGAGAGAGAGAGAGAGGGAGAGAGAGAGAGAGAGAGAGAGAGAGAGAGAGAGAGAGAGAGAGAGAGGAGGGAGGGAAGGAGGGATATACATACACCTAGAGGCAAGCGTGTCGACGAGATGTCACTTAGGTATTTTACTTACTTTGGTTTTATATCGTCGCTATTATTCTTGCGATTCCATTTCGTGTCTGTGATTTATACAGTTCGATTTCCATGTTCTGTTCGGGCTGCGATTCATCTTGATAAATCCGTCTGGTGCCAAGCGAATGTCTAGCCTCGTGGAGGTTAGCAAAGGGCACGCTTGGCAGAGGCGCACTCAGCGACGGAATTAGGTACTCAAATGAAGAGAGAAGCTGCATCACGTCAATGGCAGCCCTGCAACATTTGACCTAAAAGGTCCCTTAGCAATCTGTTCACCTAAAAAAATATCCACGCAGCTGCCCGATCAACTTCGTTTCCTGGACACGCGTCTAAATTGATCCCTGTCCTTATCGGCTAACAAGTGAATCGTCCAGGGCTGGAGTGAGTAGACACACTGCGGCGGGCACACTTACTGATTAAGAGCCAATAGCGGTGCTTTCAAGCGCTCAGGGAGTTTGATTGAACGGGGCCAGGCCCGATGTTCAGCCGGCGCCGCGGTCCGAGACGGTGCAGATCTGGACACGACAGTCATCACTTTAAAGTTTAATTGGCTTCAGACTAATTGTGTGGTTCAAAGTCAGCGATGCGGCAACCTTTGTTTTCGGTGAAAAGACTAAGTGGTTGGTTATGTTTGCAGTGCTCCTGGAAGTGTTAATTCTTTATCTGAGGACATTCTCGGGTATTTCAGACATGTTAAATGTTGTGATATTTTACCGACTAAAGAAGTACAAATAACTACAATAATTATTTAGTAGGATCATGAAGATTGCTTGGATCTAAAAGGCACATTGCGTGTCAGGGAAGGTCGGACCCGACGGCTGCCAGAAATGTCAAGGATCTGCTCAGGGGGATCAGCTGACAGGCTATAGAAGTCGTGTGGCGTACCCAGGCATCAGATGACCGGTCGAGGGGCCCTACGGCGTGTGATGAAGGTCGGTCGGTGGGTCAGTGGGGTCTCTATGGCTCCCTATAACATGTCCTCTGGGTCAGAGGGGCCTTACGACGTGTACTCTGGGTCAGAGGGGCCCTATGGCGTGTACTCTGGGTCAGAGGGGCCCTGTGGCGTGTTCTCTGGGTCAGATGGGCCCTATGACGTGCTCTCTGGGTCAGAGGGGCCCTACGACATGTTCTCTGGGTCAGAGAGGCCCATGGCGTGTACTCTGGGTCAGAGGGGCCCTATGGCGTGTACTCTGGGTCAGAGGGGCCCTATGACGTGTTCTCTGGGTCAGAGGGGCCCTGTGGCGTGTACTCTGGGTCAGAGGGGCCCTATGACATGTTCTCTGGGTCAGAGGGGCCGTATGGCGTGTTCTCTGGGTCAGAGGGGCCCTGTGGCGTGTACTCTGGGTCAGAGGGGCCCTATGACATGTTCTCTGGGTCAGAGGGGCCGTATGGCGTGTTCTCTGGGTCAGAGGGGCCCTATGACGTGTTCTCTGGGTCAGAGGGGCCCTATGGCGTGTTCTCTGGGTCAGAGGGGCCCTGTGGCGTGTTCCCTGGACGGCCGATGGGTCAGTGGGGAGGAGTGACGGTCAGAGGGTCGGTCGGTCGGGCCTGCGTCAGTTCCGGCGCTCGTGACCAGCGGCCGGCGGCCGCCGATCGCCGCTGGAGAGCCTCGTCAGAGACCGCCAACGCCTCGCGGTAATCACCGCCCGGCCGACCGAACGGCCGCCGATACTGGCCCCGGTCACGCGGTCCGCCGGCCCAACCTCCACAAAGGGATGTTACCGGCCGCCTGGTGGTTTTACAGGGCTTCGGACTGGCGTTCCATTGACCAGCTACAAGTGTGGTGACCTTGTGGCCCTACAATGCATAGTTGTGGTTCAATTTGTCATTTGTGATCGCTCTGATAATTCACAAAGGTCATGTATTTGCCATTACAGGTATGTATAGGCGCTTGAAAGCGAGTTCGTTTTTATGCGTTATTTTTAGCGCGAAAGTGCTTGCCATTTTTGACAGAGACGAAATTCCATTGGCAAATTCACGCTGACAGCGCCGTTTCAACCATATTTCCAGCGCAGAAGTGGCCAAATTGATTCGTAAGATAGACTATATAGACGTGGGTGTCAAAACACCTTCAACAGGTGTTTTCTGCGGCCGTCTCGCTTTAGTTCGTCCTCAGCGCTATCTTCCATCGCCGCGGGCTGAGCCCCTGTATCGAGCGGCCGTCTGGCCGGCGCGGCGGGCGGGCGGCGGGCGGCGGGCGGCGGGCGGGCGGCGGTGCTGGCGGCGGGCGGGCGGTGCCGACGGTGGACGGCGCGGCCGCCGCCGGTCCGGCCAGGTGCAGGGCTGGTCGATGAGGACCACCACCGGTGACCCGAATACCCCGTTTGGCCGGCCCGCCACCGCCGTCACCGACCAATCAATCGCCGGACGTGACTGCGCGCCCGCTCGCCTTCCGGGCACCGCTGCCGATCGACGGACATTCGGCGACATTAATTGGGACATGCCGACTGGGAAATGACAAATACTGTCTCAATCCGAGCGTGGGGACAGGGATATGTGTCATACTGATGTCAAGAGCAGGCTAGAAGCATATACGGTGAATCTATTTAAAGCTGTGACACATTTACCTAAGAATTGGCTGGTCAAATATAGGTAGCAGAGCTTATTTACAGAGGATAAAAAATTAAGGACAAAATCAAGGTTTTATATGCATTTTGAACATAATGCACGGCGTGAACTGTAGATTCACGCCGCCGCAGTGCAGACTGCAGACTGCATAACCCAGAGTCTGGCTGAACTGGAGGTGGAGGGACCAATGCTATTGTAACAGTAGGATACTGCGCCGCCGCACACCCGCGTTCGCCGGCGCAGCCTATACACTCACGCTACATCAACGCCACGGATATGTCGCTACACAGATTCTTCACTGATCAACGTTCATTGTAATGTGAATGCGATTCACTGTATGAATGATTTGACCTTCAGCATATCGTAAGCACAGAGCACATCAGAGCATAGGTAAGCGCATAGGTCCTCCATTGACGCACTTTGCCCTGCCCTGCGACCTGCAGCGCCGCCGACGGCGGCTCATACCTGCCATGTCGTGGACGATTACCGGACATATCGGCGGGGCAGCACACCCTAATCAGACCCGTGTATTATTCACGTTGGCGTGATGTCAATCCAATAGGTCCCGGTCGGCCGGTGTCACGACACGTCGCACTGTGGACACACCCGACACACCCGCACTATGGACACTTTGGACCCACCCCGTGCGCAGGTGGGATGAACCGACAGCGGTACACACAGTGTAACCCCAAGGCCAGATGCCCAGCGATAATCCAGAGCTGTTTGTGATGCGCACTGTCACCCCTGTCAAATCCAAAACTGTCAAACCAAACACCACCCTATAAGGCAGGACAGCGCGACTTAGGACGTGCTTTATTGAGCGAGGACCGTGCTACCGGAGGCCATTACTGCTGCGCAATCAATGCGTGCACTGGTCTGGGCCGCGCAGGCTAGTGTTATTCGACGCGGGTTTGGCCCGTGGTTTGAGGATCGACTCAGGTAAACATGTTGTTGGGTCGCCACGGAGTCTCTCTGGAACTTATGAACCTGGACGCGGCAAGTTGGCCGATTTGGCGGCACGCCGGTGCTAGTTGGGAGATGTGCGAGAACTTGTTGACAGAGGAACGAGAACTTTTCGTGGTATCTTACGAATGTTCTTAGTTTCAGTGCCAGCGCGCCGTACGAATTCTGTGGAGGATTTAAAAAACATTGTTACTGCTTACATAGTCTATGCTTAGCACTAAGATGTTACAGAAATGAGATGAAGTAGCCACATGTCATCTTCGTGTATCTGTAGACTATTCAGGTACTATATATCGTAAAACATCCTTAGTATTGCTAATTATGAAAAAATAATGAGAGTTATTTGGCCGGCGCAGTTCTCAGACTACAAGCACCCGCTCGGTGGAGGTCCCCGGTCCCGCCGAGGCAGGCCAACCCCTCACGGCTCTGCTCCAATTGCGCTGCTCTGCGCGCCGACCCCTCACGGGCGCCGCGAACGAGCCCGGTTTCCACGTAGATCTCGGCTATATTTCCCCAGACATTCCGGCCGGCCATGATGAGTCGCCTCACCGGCGCGCCGCCAGCGGTAAAAGATTGGTCGTCGCTGGTATTGCTTCCTCGGTGAAATCAAACGGGCCGCGGTGCCGGCCGCCTCACTTCTCGGGACATGACAGCGGGCTATTTCGGCGGCGTCAAATTTTCAGCCGGCGGCCGGCGGCGCGCCGGAGTCGGGGCTCAGCTGGGAGCGCCGTGCCGAGTGGTCCTGGCCGGTGATAAGTGGTATGCCTGTCGGCGGCGCCGCTCTTTAGCGAGTCGGCGGCCTGAGCCTGGCTCATATCTGAGCTGGAGAGCGCCGCCTCTCTGTAGTGTCTGTCAACAACGGCAGATGGAGTGGGCCACTCCGAGTCCAGCTAACTGGGCTAGCTTTACAGAGGAGCATGCATAAACAGGGTCGGTAAACAAACTGGAAGACTTAGAGTGACTTACGCAACGCTTAGTTTGGTGTTTTGTTCTCAATACTTCGGAGGAGATAGCTGGCGTGTTGGATTTATTCCGTATCGATGCCTTGTAACTTTAGCTCCGGATC